TGTTCCTATAAAGAGGGGGGAAAGCAGCAGAGTTGGAGGGGAAAGAAACCCTACATTTTATACAGCAGCAGCTAAAAAGAGATCAGCAATTCTGGATGGAGCTAATAATTCCAAAGTCTGGATCTCTCAGAAGATAAAAAAACCTGTTCTCATTATTTCCTTCCTCCTCCTTTAATTCATAGTGTGCGTTCCACCTATTGCAAGTGAAAGCAAGTGGAGGGAAGTGGAGAAATGGTGGCATGCAAACCAACAGACAACACTATCACATCCAAGATATTTTCATCTCCATTCTCCAGTCATTTCATTTCTGTCAAACTCCTTCACTCCAGCTCGCTTTCCAGGCTGCATCCCAATTACAACTGGTCCCCACAACAAGTCAAAGCCTGGTTTCTGGAGGAAATATTACCCACACCTCATTTCAAAGACAAAGCCAATGGACAATTTGGAGACTGTCCTGGGAGGCTCAGAAAATGAAGACCTTTCTCCAGCAGCCGCAGGGCCAGTTACACTCACTATCTGCTTCCCTATCTGCATCGGTGCCCAGATACACAGAAGATGCGAAGTCTTTCTGTGTTATGTGATCATAGGATATAATTACAGACTTTGTCCTTGTTAGCTGCCACCCTGGGCCCTAATCAAGGCACTCTGACTCATGATCCATTAGCGTTACATCAAACCTGAAATTCTTGCCAAGATTACAGTCTACTATCCTGCAAGGTGCTGTATATTTATAGGCAACCAGAGCAGGAGAAAAGTTTATGCAAAAATGGGAGATGTGAGAACTAAAGCCTTCAGTAATCCTCACCAAAACCCTCCAAAATAAATAGGCAATTTACAAGGGGAAATTTACCATAATAAAGCACATAACCTCTGACCCAGAGCTGGAGTCTTTTGAGGCTACAGTGAAATTCTCTGCAACAGGAAATCATGGATGAATATCTACAAGTTCATTATAATGAGCTTTCAACATCTCAATGGCTACGAACACATTTGATCTTCCTACTTTAGACCCTTTACATTTCTGCATGAAACATGTGATCCCTGCTGAGATGACCCACATCATCGGTGGGGGAAAAAAATATCTCCCACTGCCCATTAATGGCACAGAGCCCCAAATCAGACATCCCATCTCTTCCCCTCATCCTCTGACCTAAAAAAAGTGCAAACAAGTGTGGGGCATCTAACAAACCATGAGGGAGACCTTGTGTGTGTCCACAGAGTAACTGAGCCTCAGCATGGAAAGGTGAGAGCCGGTAAGCATATGGCACAGTGAACGTGGGATGACATTCAGAGCAGCCAATTCCCTGAGAAAAAGAGAATCCTTTTATTGTTACATCTATTAGATGAACAAGAAAGAAATGGAGGTATCATATAAAATGTAACATCACATTTTAAATCAGATTAGCATTTTCAAAAAGGTTATGGTATCCACTGCAGAAAAGAGTGCCATAAGAAAATAAAATTATCTCCCTATGCAGATGTAGCTTCCAAGAAAAATGAAACACATTCAGAGTGGGCTGTAACTTACCACCATCTTTCATGCCAAATCTGGGTTATCTTGGGCATTTCTTTCTGTAGGAACTAGACTTTCCCTATTAAATAACTGGAGAAGTTTACCCCACCCACCCACCCAAGCCAGAGGGTCCTACCAGTATAAATCAAATAATTCCTTTCTCTTAACTGATCTTTCCAGGCTAGTTTGTTAAAGACCAGTAACATGCAGTGTGAAGAGGAGCTAACATAACACACAGAAGTGCTCATTTCCTCCTAGCTCCACAGTGACTTTCTACAGCCCATAAAAGATGTATAAGCCTCAAAGACATAGTGCACAGATAATCAAAGTCCTCAAGCATGTTACATGTTCATATGTCAGTTCAAAGCGGGCGGTCTTAACCCATGTTCTGAACAATCTTCTTTTTTTTTTTTTTTTTCAAATATCTGGCCCTTATAAACAGTAGAGAAGTACTTCCCAGACTTTAATGTGCATACTAACCACCTGGGGATCTTATTAAAATGCAGATTCTGAGTCAGTAAAATCTGAAATGGGGCTCAGGGTTCTGAATTTTTAACAGGCCCCCAAGTGACGGAATGTTGCTCTTTGCTCCCTTTGAGAGGCAAAAACCTAGAAGATTTAGTTCACCTAGAACTAAGACCCCTATCTTCAGACATGCTGACATTTCTGAAGGACCCCATTAAAATAATAGCTAGTGTTTACTGGGTAATCAGGAATGTTTTAGGAACCCGACATATGTTAGGTCATTTAATTCTCCCCCTAACTCATGATTACCACCCTCATTTTACAGATAAGGAAACTGAGTCGCAAAGTAAGGAAGTAACTTTTCAAGGTCACAGAGCTGGTGAAGGAACGGGGATTTGAACGCAGACAGCCCGGCTCCCAAGTTTTCTGGTAACCACTGCTCACAATGACTCCCAGAAAGAAAAGGGTAGAGATTTCCGGCAGCTGGATGTCTAGGTAGGAAGGAAAGTGAGACTAGGATCTCAGATGCAGTACTGGAGAAAAAGCAGAACCCACAGAAGCACAGTGTTTCCACATGGTCACCACCAGAGGCAATATATACTTGTCACTCAGTCACGTTGCACAGCGAAGAGAAAAAAAGCAACATGGTGTATTTTAAATCTTCCAACAGGGCTCCTCTACACACCTTAGCAGATGTTCTCTGAACACTGTTACAACAGCCTAAGCGCTGCAGAACCACTGTGAAACTTCCAACGACGGGGACAGAAGAGACCCCTGGGACCCAGCTCTCGGCCGAGGCACTGAGTACGATGCTGAAATCAACTCCCTATTCTCTCCTTTGAGTCCCTCTGGTTCATCCTGGCCAAAGACAAGGAAGGGGCGGGGTAAAAACCACTGTCGCACCTTGCGCTCGCAACGCCTGGTAGAAAGGCGGTGTCTTTGCAGCGGAAGCGAAAACGTGAAAAGCGCCGACCGCGTGGTCTAGGAACCGAGCTTCATTTCCCAGCCCCAGAGCCTGGGCCCAGCCGGAAGTGCCCGTGGTGCCGAACCGGCTGATCGCGGAGCCGCGGACGTCTGGGGAGTTTCGGTGGCGCTGTCCTAGGTGCCAGCGATCGCTGCTGGCACACTTTGCTACCCGCGCCGCGGCGGGGGCGCTCTCTCTACCGCAAGGAAGCCCAAGGGCGCCTAAGTTAACATACCCCTAAGAGAGGAGCACAGTAAAGCAACACCTGGAGGGTGGGGAATTTTTGAGAATTGTACAAGGCGGATGGGGGAGCGGGGCCCCGCTAGAGAAATCAGTAGAGATCTGACTAGAGGAGTGTTTGCAGCCCAGCCGCGGCACGCAACATAATGAGATCTGTCCGCTTTGTGCGGCGCACCGGCAGGCGGGACTGCAGGGACTGGACCCTTCCTCCTCTCCAGTACCCGCACCCTAGATACGTTCAACTCGGGCACGGAATGACCCCGAATCACTCTGTGGGGGTGGGAGGAGGAGGGGAGTGCAGAGAGGAGGAGAGAGGAAGCCCAGCCAGGGGTGGTTGTGGGAGGATTTGAGCAGCAGCAGGAAGAATATCTGCTTAGAGATGCTCCTTCGTTTCTAATGAGGGGTGCTGCCTAGAACCACCAAGCGCCAGCCAATGGCAGTGCTGCTGAGGCAGGGAACTAGGGAGGAAGGAGGGGAAGGCCAGAGACTGGGGTAGGGGTAGCAGGGAGATGCCCAAGCCCTAGGGGAAGCGAGCCACGTGCCTCACTGATACTAGAGACCCAATGCAGCTCAGCTGCCTCATGATGCACACCTGGAGGGAGGGGGTGGGGAAAGAGGGGGAGAAGAAGAGGAGGGGCCTCCTTTGCAGGTGCATCCTTCCCAAGAAATGTCTTTCTACAAGCATCAAAGTCCCATGTCTCCAAGCTTACCCCCATATTTACCACCACCCCCCTGGCTTGCTTCTTACCAAGCATCCTCCCCACCCCCACCAACCCGCAATTCCTAAAGACCTTGCCAGATGCCCAAATTCTTAGTGAAGAACAAGGCAGCAAGATGCCTAATCAGCAGCCTGCATTTGGTGCACTTGATTAAACCTGCAAAGAAGCTCCTTCGATGCCTTTTCACCCTGACACCGCCACCATGAGAGACGCCACCAGCTCTTTGTGGGAGAGCAGTTCCTTTGGAGGTAGGGAGAGACAGATTGCTTGCACACCTCTGGGCTCAGCTTGATGCAGCCCTCAGCTGAAGAATTCAGGCCAAGCATGAATTCTTGGGCCCTAGGAGAGCACTCAGCTGGGTCAAGCATTCAGAGGCAGAGGCACCCAACCGGACTAAGAAAACAATGAGCTCTGATGAACTGTTCCTCTTTGGCTGAGAAGGGAACTCCAACTCTGAGCTGTCTGGGCTGGACCATTAGAGATTACCTCCGCTGACACATTCATTCACTCCACTCTCAGTGGAACTTAAACTCAGTCCCCAGAGTTAGCTGGATCCCCAGCCAAATGGCTGTTTTATTTATCCATTCTATTTGTCTACAAGGTTTTGGCCCAGACTCTTGAAGCTTCTGAACTGATAAATCCCCCAGGGAGCCTTGACTTCCCCAGGCGCAGATAGTGCGGGTGTCTCCCCAGCTGGTGGGGATGGGGACAGAGGCGGTGGCTTTGAGGGAGGAAAAGGGGGAGTATGAAAGAAAACCTTGAGATTAGGGGCAACCCATTCTATGTGAAGGGCCTTGGGGGCCTGGGAATCAGACAAAGCCCAGCCCAGAAAGGGGCAGACACAGCAACACCATGCACCCAGGGACGCTAGAGATTTCCACATTGGAAAAATCAAAAAACCAAAATCTTACCTTGAAAAGCACCCGTGCCCACACTGGCCTCTACAGCACCAAGCTTGCCCCTTAGGCACACCGAAGTAAAGAGTGCACTTCAGCAAAGGGGCAAATTGGCACCAGGAAGGGGATAGGGGATAAATTCCATGCTAGATTTCCCCCCTTACCCAAAGAAATGCAAAGGGGGAGAGGGCAAGAAAGGATATGGCCAATCGATGAGCTTCTTGGCGTATTTCCTGACAATGTTATCTTCTCCGAAGATGAACAGGGATCTGTTGACGGTGAAACAGTTCTGCCGGACGGGAATGGGGTTGTACAAAGCCATAGTCCGCGCCCTCTGCGCTTTCGACTGCTTGTAGGCGGCCGCCGGCCCCGAGGCCGGCACCGGGGTTCCTTGCCGGTTCCTGCTCTGGTCCGAGTCTCCATCGCCCGACCCCGGCCTGCCGACCACCGCCTCCCCGAAGCGAGCCATCCTGAAGTTTAAACAGACAGAAGACACACAAAGGTGATCGCGGCCGAACACCCGCACACAGCAACAACCAGAAAGACACACGGAGACTCAGAGCCGCATCCAGCCGAGCGCGGGGACCACCGCCTCCGGGGAGCCTCGCGAGCTCTTGGAAGAGGCGGCGGCAGCAGCCCCGCCGCTCCGAACTGTTGAATCTAAATACAACCTCTGCGAAGCTCCATTCCTCAAGGAGGAAAAAAAAAAAATGGGGGGAGGGCGTGGGGGTGCTCAGTTTCTGGAGGCAATTCTTTTTTTTTTTTTTCTTTCAAAATGCCAGTGTGTGGTGGCATTCAGGGACTGAAGAGGAGAGGGGTGGAGTAGGCTGCTCTTCAAACATAGCTCCTCTTCTGGCAGACGCACCACCTAGTTCTGGAAGAGAGGCAGGCACCGGCCCGCTAGGTAACAGTTTGGTGATTTATTGGGGGTGGGGGTTGGGGAGGAAGGGAAAAATGAAAACAAAAGAACTTTAAAAAAAAATAAGATAAGGACAAGGTTATGATGGCATGCTTTATAACGCCAGCCCCAGCAAGTCCATCTAAGAAATTCCACAGCCAAGACTTGGATCTTTAAATCTGCCAGCACAGACGCATCCAAAGGTTGACAGAGAGGGAGGGGGGAGAGCGATATTGAGGTTCCTGCGCAAACCGCAACGCCCAAAATATCAAAATAAGAAGTCAATCCAACCGGAGAGGGACAAACGACTTCAAAGCTCCTGCGCTTGGTATAGAAGTTGAGCAGCATCCAGAGAGCAGCGAAGCCCGAGTGCCAGCATCCTGCCGGAGCGCTCGCCGCCGCCACCGCCGCCGCCTCCCCGGATCAGCATGCAACAGCGATCCGCGGCTGCGCCGGGGCGAGGGCGGGAGCGGGAGCGGGAGCGGGCGGGCGAGCACTTGGGCGAGGGAGAAACAGGTTGCAGGCGAGCCTAGCGGTGGCCTGGCACGCGAGTTGTCCAAGGACCGAACTTCCTCCTGAACGGCTGGGTTTCTTCTGCCACTCGGACAGCCCCACTCCGGGGAAGCAGAGGAGAATGTAGGGAAGGAAAGGGGAATGCGAGGAGCGGAGAGCGAGCGGAGCGCAGAGGCGCAGCGAGGCGAGCGCTGGAGCGCCAGGAGAAGCGGGGGCGGGGCCGGCGAGAACAGGAGGGGCGGGGATGGAGCCGGAAGGAACCCGGCCGACCGCGGCTGCAGGGGCCAGGGAAGCGAGGCTGGTTTGGCTTCGGGATTTATTTAGCCAAAGGGTAGGGGGCCACCGCTGCAGAGGCCCAGCGAGAGTCGCCTCTCCCCAAGTAACGCCGAGAGGAGAGAAGCGGATGCAGCTGGCGGCGCGGCACAGTCCCCGCAAGAGAGCCGAGCCCAGGCCCGGCGGGGGCGCACACGCACGCGCGCACGCACTCGCGCCTTCCGTCCCCGCCGAGGCGCCCGCCAGTGCTGTGCCCCGCGCAGTGCCTGCCCTGAAAGGTGGTCAAAGCCTTTGCGCCCTGCGCGCCGCGCACCGGGGCCCCGTCGCTGCTCCTCCTCAGCTCCCAGTCTCCGAGGAACGCTGCCCAGGGATTTCCGCGGAGAAGGCAGCACCCTCTCCCCATCTCCCCACTTAGCAACCCGCAGGCCCCGTGAGGCACGCTAGGACCTCTGGGGGCTCCGCACTCAGGTGTTGGCGCCAGCTCCACGTGGGAGCTTCTGCCCTCCCCCTGGCAAATGCGATCTGGGGCGGCCTCTTGGGTTCAGCTCTCGCGGAGCCCTGCGCATCCATTTCTGGAAGACTGGTCCAGATATTGGGGCCATAGATGGTGAGTTTGGAGCTAACACTACCTTTCTCAAAGTCTTAACAATCAGGGGGATCCTCCCACCCTTATCTTTTACCCATAAATCGGCTCCACTGACTTCCTCAAACCCACCCCATTAATGAAGAAAAAAACAATTAGTATTTGAGCTGCCTAAGTGGGAAAGGTGGACTCCAAGACCGGGAGAAAGAGTCCCTAGGTTTAGCAACCAAGCCCTTCTCCACAGGTGACTCAGTGGTTTGAACTGAGCACAGGACCAGCTAACCCCTTCCATGTCTACACTAGCTGGAGCACACTTTCCTCTCCTTTTTCCAGTGTAGGCTCAATACACAGCTCTATCCAAATCCTCCCCACCTAAGCAATGTTAGAGAAGGGGAAGGGGGCGGCTGAGGAAGGAAACAAAAGAGACTGACTAAAACCTGGAGGTTGGAAACCATGGGTGAGTGTGGCTTCACATGTGTGAAAGGCAGTGTCTCTGTGTGTGAGAATAACTGATGGGAAGGGTGATGACACCTGAGTGAGAGGCACGTGTGTTCCTGTGTGTGTCTATGTGTGGGCAAGGCCACGTGAGCACTGACACACGTCTGGGTGAGAACGCATGTGAGTGTATGTGTGAAGGGAAATCCTCTGGGTACTGGAAATCCAAAGGAATGGTGTCCGTGCTGCCCTTGGGTCATCATACTGACCTTTTGATTCAGGGTAGCCCATTTCAGTCCAACTTACTATGCAAGGTGTGTCCATTCTAATTAGTATTTTGATTTCATATTACTGCCTTACTCTGTCATTCTACCTCCCTTTACTCGAAGACCCTTTTCTGTCTGGATACCTGGTCAGAAGTGAAAGGGGAGGCGGTGCTATGAACCACGAAGCCCCATCAGCCTGTTTAGTCATTCATAATGGTCACAAGTGGCTGTCTCACTAACCCTGTAAACTGTGCAGATTAGAAAGGGCTTGCAGAAGTGATCAAACCCATGCTTTCAGGCAGACCATAATCCATAGCGCAAAATTCATTCACATCAATCATCTGATAAATATTTTTGAGCACCAGGCACTGTTGGCACTGAGGATGCCAAATGAAGAAAACAGATGACAAAAAAAAAAAAAAAATGTGTCCTCTTCTTGGATTAAATTAGATTCTGCAACCTTACCGGCCAGAATGCTTGATAGACCTCATTCTCACACTACAACTTCACCTCTTTTCCCTGGGTCCTGACCTTAGAAGGCATCCGAGTGGTATGCCTGTTTGTTCATGCTCAGAGGAAGCAGGGCTCTCTAAGCTTTACATCCTGGAAGAGGCTCTTGGAAGATCTGGAACCTCCAGATCTGGATCTTCAATGCCACCCACTCAGAAGAGAGGTGGTACTAATCCCCTTTCCTCTCTCTACAATGTCCTGTGTTCTCTGTGGCTGTTATAATTCTTAAGAGACCTAGGTTCCGCAAGACAGAATATTATACTTGGAAATGTGAAGACCCAGTGGAGTTGAGGCTTGCCTCCCTGAGGAGACAGGAATCACAAATACATGGGTTGGGAATGATATAGACCATGCTGGAGAGTATGAGCACCTTTGGAGGGAAGTTATAAATGGGGAATTTGTGGGGTGGGGGGAGAAGCCCAAGAGGAAAGAGGCAAACATAATGGCATCAAAGTCTTTGGGAATGGACTTGATCTAAGGGCAGTAATGGTGGGAGGGAGGCATACTCTCATATTCCACCACCACCACCACGAACACCATCCCCCACCCCACAGTCACAGCTTTTCAGACTTTTGAGATCTATGAACTCATGATCTCTTATGCTCTCCAATGCCCCCATTCTCCCAGCCCCCAGAGGGCTAGAATTTTAATGACTGAAAAATATGTTATGTGTCTTCAATAGTTTTCAGTTTACATAAACCTCACAACAAATCTCTGAGATCAGCCTGGCAACCCAGGTATTATGACCCTGATTTGATGGACAAATTAGCAGAGTTTCAGAAACCTTAAGTAATTTTCCCTGGGCCTTTAACAGATCTTCCGACTGCCACTTTATGGCTCTTTCTAATAACCAGTCTAATCTCTGGTGGATGGTAATAGTGTAATTCCAAAGTTGTTCATTGTCAAGAGAAGAAACTATACAATAACGCTAAACCTATGGGAATCCTATGCTTACCGTCCTCAAATTGAATTTGGTCAGTAGCCACATGGTCCTGGGATCATGCTGGGAAGACACTAAACTAGGAACACAGGTACTGCCCTCAAGATCCAGGAGGATCCTTAGAAAAAACCTGAGGTCAGGTCATTGCCATAATGCTCTTCATAAGGGAACTTGGTGGGCATTCTCCTAACAGTGTCCCTCCTTGCAATGTCTTCTTAAAGACCCACATATGGAAATGTAGAAAGTCAGCATTTGGTCATAACTCTGACTGGAAACCAGATTCCTAAAATCCCTTTCCAGCCCATGAGGGACCGTAGCCATATTTCCCTGTTGTCAGAGCACCATCTACTGGTCACTTGTGAGCACGTCAACGTGAGCCCCCAGCACCCCTAGCACACCTCACAACCTAGACGTGCCTAAAGAGGTAACTTCTTGTCACCAGCTCTCTACTCCCCTGTGGGACTTTGTTGAGGTCCAAGCCCCAAATTTCACCACAATGCAACCATCCAGTACTTAGAAAGTACACCCCCACACACGGGGCACAAGGTCAACACACTGCATGCACATGCGCACACATACATACACACCCAGTTAACATGGTGCAACCAAGTGTTTTTCTACATGCATGTTTTGCTGCAAGCAGTGACCTGCAAACTAACCCAAAAGGATCTGAGGAAGTAAGTGAAAAACTTTCCTAGATCAATCCCATCCAGATGGCTTAACTTCAAAGCTTTCACCCTGTAGCCCCTCATCTCCAGTGTACCATACAAAATGCAAGCAGGATGGAAGGCGACTGGTAGAGGGTACCTCCAGTCTCCTCTGGAAAAGGAATGAAACCAGTTGGCTGAACTCTCCCAGACCAGGAAGGCCATGGGAGTTTGTACTAAGCTGGACAGACATGAGCAGCATGAGTGGAGAAGTACTTATCCTATTCCCCTCATTCATAAAGCTCTTCCCAGATCTGTCAGGCCTTGGGCCATCTCTGCGTGAGATTTCAGCCCATCACTGCAGCGGCTGCAAATCTAGCCTCATCCAAAAAGCATGTGCCCCTCCCACCAGCCCAGCTTCCTCATTCCTCCCTCCCCCACTGTCAGTTACTCTCAGATAGCTTATGGTTAAGCTATCAGAGCCCCTTTTGTTCTATTTTCCCCCTGTTGAGCTTTTCCAAGAAATAGACTCTTATGCAAAGCAGTACTCTAAGGAACATAATGCAGAGAGGATTTGGGAGTGGGTTCTTAAGAAAAAAGTTGGCAGGAGACCATGTACAAATTCATTGCAGAGCAGA